TATATATGAAAGGAGGGATCCGTTTGTTTCATGAGTAAGTTTGCCTAGACTTACTCTGTTCAATAATTCATGCTCTATATCAAATTTTAACGATCTAACAATTGAATTTAAGGTTTTTAATGCACAAATCAAATTTGTAAATTTTTAAAAATTTTAAAAATTATTTTATATTTAATTTTATTAATTCAAATTAACAAATAATCATAAAAGCATATCATTAGTTAATTTGAATTAATTAATGAAATGAAGTATCAAATGATATTCAAAATTTTTAAAAATATGCATATTTGATTTATGCATTAAGAACTTTAAATTCAACGGTTGGATCGTTGAGATTTGTTATAGAGCATGAGTTATTGAACAGAATAAGTTTAAGTAAACTTACTCATGAAATAAATAGATTCCTCTCTATATATAAATAAATAAATAAGTGTGTGTGTTAGATACTAACGATTTTTTTAAATGAAGGTGAAGATTAGGTTTATTAAAACCTAACTTGATATATATGTTTCCATTTTTAAGTTGGCATAAATGAAAAATGATTTTATATCCAATAATGTGACTTGATACCACATGCAATCAAGACACATGTACAATGTTTATATCCGATAAAGACATGTAATTGTGATTATGTTTATATCCAATAAAAATAACAGAAACTCGACAAAAAAACAAAATTAATTTGAGATTTGTATAGCAATTAGATATATATAAAAGCATAAAAGATTGGTAAAATTAATGTGTGCATGTGTGTGTTGTGTATTATACATTCTATTTTTTTAAAATTTACCACATAAGAATAATGACTATTTTTGAAACAAAATAAAAGATTATAATAAAATAGCCGAGACTAAAAGTGAAAAAGTAAAAATTTACGGGAACAAAAATTATATTTAAGCCATATATTTAATTATATTTTTTTTATTTAATTGTTTATAAGTTTTGGACTTTAAATGAAAGGGTGTGGGCAACTGGGCCGGAATGGGCTGGGAAGGTGTGAGGACCAGTCCAGAAGGACCGGTAGACGACTTGCTGCCCCTATTTGGTGTCGTACGACGAGAAATGAAAACTTTGGAACGAAGGCATGTGTTTATGCGTAGATTAACTGGCAGTAGCATCCTCCCCTTCTCGAAACATCATTTCACAGCATAAAATTCATCTCCTCTCACGGTGACCAATTTCTTCTCCCAATCTCTTTGCTCTTTTCTTTTTCGCCAAAAGCTCTCTGCAATCTTCCACACGCAGATCTTGCCACCTCTTTCATTTCTTTTTCCTTTTCTTTTTCTTTTACTTCTTTCCTTTTCTTGCCACTAGCGCACCAACTTCCTCTACTTAACGTAGGTAGTTCCATGTGCTGAATTATTTCTCAACCTTGAATCGCACTTTTATATACTATTCGTAATGTAATTATGGATCCTACTTTTTCTTTTATTTTAAAGATACCTCAAAATCTTCCGATTCATGTTTCAAATTCGTTTTGATATTTGATTGCTGTTTTCCGGTATCAAAATTTTACCAATCTTTCAGGCTTTTATAGACTTAATTGCTTTTACGAATCTCAAATTAATTTTGTTTGTGTCGGGTTGCGCGTATTTTTGTCGGATATAAACATAGCCCAGTTGCGTTTTTATTGGATATAAACATTGTATATGTGTCTTGATTGCATGTTGTATCAGGCCGCATTATTGTGATAGTTGCTAAATGTTTTTATGTTCGGATAAATTTATCATCAAAATCTTCTGTTAGTTCCCGAAAACCTAATTGATATGTTCAATGAAACTGAGATTCTTTACAAGTCGTTTGGATAAATAAAGGGATGCATAGTATAATCACATTTTATATATGCATTGCAAAGATAACTTGTTATTTACTGGATTTTATAATTTAATGAATGAATATGAGGATTTACCGGGTTTTTCATTGCAAATCTTTTGCACACCGATACGTTAGATGTGTTGCATCCCTGGCCATACAGGCATAGTGTGTTCTTGTGTGATTTTTACGGCATGGTCGTGCTTATGGTCGAAGTAGAATACTGTATATAATATATTGCTATATGCTTTGGAAGTTATGCTTTAGATTTTCTTCTGATGCCACCATGAGTTACTTTGGATGATTAATATGGCCCTACATTTCTATTGTGCTGCAGCTACTTTGGTATATTATTGTCTGCGAAAGTTCTGTCTTGGTCCAAGACTTTGCAGCTGAACCAACAGCATGGCGGATCAGTGCTCCAATGAAGGGTCGAGTAGTGGAAATATTTCGGCAGAATGTTCAGATTCAACTGTTCAACTCAATATCAAGACTCTAGATTCCCGCATCTTCAGTTTTCAAGTGGACAAAAATGTGAGCTATAAATCCTATAATCTCTATTGCTGTCATTCTCATGTTTTTCGAGGCCTATTCGTAGGTAAATATCTGTAGGTTAGGGTATAACCCTAAAACCGGTCTTAAAAATCATTTCAGATGCCTGTTTCATTGTTCAAAGAGAAAATTGCAAATGAAATTGGTGTTCCGGTTAGCCAGCAACGACTGATATTTAGAGGAAAAGTCTTAAAGGATGAGCACGTTCTTTCTGAGTATCGTATCCTTCAAATTGTAATTTTTTTTTTGTCATCAGCTTCATGCTTAGTGGGCCCAGATTTTTCTTAGTTTTAAGATAATTTTTTTTATCCTGCGAGTAAAATGCGTTATATATATTCTTCAAATTTTACTTTTTTTCCCATGCGTTATATATATTCTTCAAATTTTACTTTTTTCCCCATTAGCTTCATGCTTAGTAGGCCCGGATTTTTCTTAGTTATAAGATAATTTGTTTTATCTTGCGAGTGAGATGCATTATTTATGTTCAGTGTCTTCTCTTTATTCAACACCCTTCTTTGTTTAGCATTTAAAAAACTGGGGTTGCTTGCCAGAAGGAAATGCTGTAGCCTGAAGCAGTTTTTTTCATAAATGGTGAAATGAGTTAGTGTTTGAAATCAAACTGTGGTACTCATCTATTTATTTTATAACCTAATCCTTAACAATTTAAGATGTTGAAAATGGGCATACGTTGCATTTAGTTGAAAGACAACCGAATCAGTCACAGTCACAGGCTTCTGGTCCGAGTTCTGGTGAGCCAACAACCGGTACGAGTGGGAACCGAGGTATATCTTAAGGCTGCAATAATGGTCCTTTTTATATTTTCTCTCTTGAGGCTTTAAGCCTTTTTTTTTTTTTTAATAATATCATCAAACATCTATTATAGTACTGTATTATGCTAATGATAAATTTTATTATTGGGAAGGAAATGATATAGGCTCAGGAGCTCCTCGTAATCGTGTTGGGCAAATTTCACATAGTGTTGTTCTTGGAACATTTAATGTGGGGGAACAAGGTGAAGGCATTGTTCACGACCTCACTCGGGTTCGTTACTGTGTTCTTTGCATTTATCTTAAGTAGTTCATATTCATGCATTCTATTCTATTCAGTTGTCAAGTAGGTCTTGGCAATAATGGTTTGCTTTGATATTGCCTGAGAAACATTATGTATTGCTGTATTTTGTTTTCAGGTTATTGGGCATGTTTTAAATTCTATTGGAAATGGTGGCCAGAGCACAATTAGTGGTCCTAATGCCATACAAACTTCCTCAGTTAGTACCACTTTTGCTTGAATATATGAGCATGTATTGTTATATTTTCTATCATTTTTGTGATTTACTTGGCTATTGTATTTGTTTGCACATAGTTTTTCTTAACCATGAATGACTGAATTAGTTTCACAGCCATTTGATTTAGATTTCTCCTTATTTGAATTCTCCTTGAAACATTGCATAGTTATTTTTGTGTAGGTTCCCTTTACATGCCTTTTTCAATTTGATCTTCTTTGATCATGAAACAATCAAATGTTGTGGTATCTATTTCAGGTGGCTTGTGTTTCTTAGCAAACAACTTTTTTTATCAATTATCCTAATAGTGACAAATCTCAAGTACCTTATGTATGATTATTTATCTTAATTTTGGAATCATCATTTTCCTTTTTTTGGTCAATGAATAGATATTTATTTTTCCTCACAATACTAACATGGCATGGTTAAACCCTCTATAATAAGTTTATTTTTTTAATAGAATTGACACAGTACAGACTTGTACTGATGTAGCCAAGTTAGTAAATATTGCTTTGCTACATGTGGCCCACAATATATATATATATACGAGTAATCAACACGAGGAAGAGGGGCACTCGGTCTCTCAACCACCGACAGTACCTAGGGCACCTACCCCCAGGCTTGCCACACATCGGTCGCATGCGTCGACGAACAGGTCGACCCATGAAGTCAACAACGCGCCCGTCCAGAATCCGGGACATAGGGCGAGCATCCGCCG